AGGCATGTTCAAGCTTCATATCCATAAAGACATGCCTAGATAGATCCTCTGTTAAGTGTACTGCTTTTTTTTTCTATCTGTGAAAAAGTAAATTTTTCTTGTTGAGGGCAATAGTAATACTGAACAAAGGGTCTCCCTGGACATGTCTTTATGGATATAAACTTGATACATGCCTCTATCACTGGTAAAAAAAATCAGCACGTTTGCTCGAGCCGTAATGGAGATATTCGAATTTCTTATCACACAGTTATTTATGGACCACCCTGTATATCGAATCAAGGTCTTTTATTTCTGAAAGTTTCAGCTCTCTAGCTAAAACTAGTGGTTAGATACGCCAATTGTCGTACTCGATTTTTGCAATAGTTTCACAGTAAAAATATGCAAAAATCGAGTACGAAAATTTGTATTTTAGTCTTGACGATGTTTTTGTACCACTAGTTTTAGCTAGAGAGCTGAAACTTTCAGAAACAAAAAAAGACCTTGATTAGATATATATATGATAGAAATTTCAGCTCTCTATGTCAATAAAAAGTATGAAAAATATGATTAACAATTTATCATCAGTTATTATGAGATACCTTTTATATGCCTGAAGTGTTCCTAGGAAATGATGTGTCTTCACACTTTGTGTATCCAAAAAGATTTTAATTATTACGTCAGACCGTTTTCGACCATGACCCGTCTAACTAGACTATTAAAATCGAGGAAAAAAATTTTTTCCAGAAAAGTGGTAGAAACTCCACGGATTCACCATAGTACGAGTTATGGCAACTTCTCCGTATCGGATTGAGGAAATTTCTAGAATTTTACGCCATAGCACGCCTGGGAAATTTCTTTCATGAGGCATTTCACACTAAGCAGATCTGGTTTAAAATGATGAATATCATAAAAGTAGTTTTTATTTTTTAAAGTTTAATGAATATAACCAATAATCGGTATGATGACCATTAGCGTTCTTTACAGCGGAAGACGTGACGGATAGAAACATAATTGAGTTTCAAATAACTCGATATTCGTTTTCATATTTGTCAAAATATCTGACATGTGTTTTTTAGAGTTTCTTCGTGGTAACGATTATGTTCCACCTTTGATAGCATTTTTTTAACTTCATTTTTATTATTGTTTCAAGATTTTCAGACAAAGTGTCGATTGACTTGGTGTTAGAAATTTCCTGAATTCGATACGGAGAAGTTGCCATAACCTTCCCTATTTAATACTGATAGATCACATTTTCGACGCGCTTTAATCTGGTATAAAATTTGTTATGGATGCTATTTGAAGTCACAGCGTTCCCTCCTCCTCCTCTGCCCAAAGGGAGTGTCAGGATAGAGATTAAGATGAGGATAGGGGCAAAGCGATGTGTGAAGAACAGAAGAAGGTCTACATATAATTTGAGTACTTTTCAAAATGATTTTTGATCACTCCTAATTCTAACTGAAAGCTGTAGAAAAGAAAATGTAGTGGGAGCAAGTATCCGGAGAGCAACTGTCGTGGATTCACTTTCGCTAAATTGGCGACCTGGAACTAGATTTTTGCTAATATTTAAATTGACGTTAGTTTCGATCATCAAAAAAAGCACATTGTTCGACAGCAACACTAATAAATCAGGTCAATGTTCGCGTATTGTTAGGAATACATCAAACTCATCAAAATCCTCTACAAATTTCTTTCTCTGTACAATGCTCCATAGAAAAGACTGCCATCATGACGGTGACTGTGTCGGTGCGATGGAGATCTTTGCTATGATACCCTCCGAATTTTATCTTTTGCGTGCAAAAGATAAAATTTGACAAGAGTGACAATCTCGATGCATTATCTTAATTAATTATTTTAGGTACAGACACAAGCAATTTTACTGCAGCAAATAAAATATTTCTTAATAATCCTCAAATAACTCTTTGGCGATTTGAAGTTGTCTATACATTTACATCTGAAACGAGTTCAAGTGCATTGAATTTTGTTATCAATCAACCTCCATACAATGGTTCTTGTTTAATTAATCCTCATAATGGGACAACAAGTACTTTATTTACAGTTTCATGTCCAGATTGGTTTGATGAAGATGGAATTAAAGATTATTTATTTTATGGTATCTACATTTTCTCTTTGAATTCTTCATTCTATAAAAATAATTTTTTTTTTATAATTTTAGTTTGGACAAAAGATTCATCAGAAAAAAAAATGATTGCTTTTTCACCTATATCAGATTTTCAAGTTCGATTACCATCGGGAGATAATCAAACATCATTACTCAATATTATTATTTATATTCGTGATTTTCTTGATTGTGTTGTAGAAGTTAATATGCCTTCTATAAGTATTATACCAAATTCAACAGAAATTAATAATTTAATTAATAATCTACAAAGCTCATCAAATGAAATAAATTATAATTCAATTGCTCAATTACTTTTTAGTGGAAATCAAAATATTGTTGGACAAATCATTATTTCACTTTCAGAAGAATTCAATAAAATGAACAGTGAAAATGTAGATAAAGCTATTTCAAGTAGATATTTTAAATCTATTTTATCATAGATAATTAATATAATCTCTTTTAGAAGGAATTCCTGCTGCAACTATTTCAATATCATCATTAGGAAGTACAAGTTCACAAAGAGTAATTTTGTTCAACAAATATTTCTATTTTAATCCTTTTACTTTTTTTAAATAGACTTCAATACCATTGAATGCATCAGCTTTGATTGAATATGAAAAAGAATTAAATTCTCAAGCAAATGTTCGAGATTATTTAATAACATTTACAAATAATCTTGCTATCACAACATCGAATAGTATCAAATTACAATCAGCATCATTAGCTCAATTAACTCAATCTACAAATCAATTAACACGAACAACTGTGGTAAGTTTTTTTCTGTGTTCATTAGAAATTCTATTTAAATAAAAATTAGATGCTTGCATCAAATAAATGTTATGAATTATCTCTTGCTTTACATTCAATGGCAAAGAGAATTCCATATGAAGATGTTCAAATAGCATCAAATCAACTTATTCGATGTGCTTCAAATGTTTTGACTGTAAAATATTTTCTATAAAAATAAAAGGATTTTTAATAATGAATTTAGGCTGTCAATGGACCATTACAAGAAAGAACAAGTTTACTAAATTTAGATTTATCTCGTGCAAATGCATTACCTACTGATTACGATACTGATCTTGAAGCTGAATGGTCGAATCTAAGTAAGATTTCAATAGATTAAATAATAAAGATTATAACGGGTGGAACATAAAGAATTATACTATTGGTACTTTTAGAATTTCTCCTCTTGATTGAAACACTTTTTTTGTTATTAAAAAATAGCGTTTGAAATTCTGCACAAAATAGTATATTTTATTTAACGAATATGATTTTCTTCATTTTTGGATTAAATGTAATCATACAGTAGAATTTTTTCTTTTTCAGTTTTTTTTTGACAGAACGTTCTAACTCGTCTATCAATGTTAATTTTGTTGTGACATGATCTTAGTTCATGGCTTCAGCCAGTTCATCTCGTAAACTATAATCTAATGGACATAAGTCAGACGAATTTGTTAGCCAACGGCTCTTCAGGACGAATACAGGAAAATTATTAGCACACCATTTTTCACTCAAATAATGTGTGTACGATGTAGCATCATCCTGCTGGTATGTTCAGCTGTTGTCCAACATATTGTTACTGAATTTGAGGGCTACAGAAAAAACTTTCTTGTTGTACCTTTCCGCATTCATTATTTCTTCCAAAAATCATCGGTACTGTCAGTCCTTCGACACATACACCTTTGATGGAAATTTTGTTTTTTGATGTAGATCACCTTGTTTATTTGCCTCTTTTCTATTTAATTAATCGACCACATCCGATCGTTCTGAACATTGTACACCCCATCTAAATCAGAATAAGTTAGTTTATTGAATGAATTGGTTGAAGCTATAAATTAGGATCATATCACAACAAAATCAACATTGATAGACGAGTTAGAACGTTCTATCAAAAAAACTGAAAAGGAAAAAATGTTATTGTACGATTGCATTTAATCCAGAAAATGGAGAAGACCATATTTGCTAAATAAAGTACACTATTTTGTGCAGAATCTTACGTGCTCTCTTTCGATAAAAACTGTTTTAATCAAGTGGATAATGGAGGAGAAATTTAAAAAAAAATGCTAACAGTATAATTCTTTATGAACTACTCGTTAGATTTATTTGCTAATGGAAATGATTTTTCAATTGAAACAATTGAAAAAAATCGAAATATTTATTATCAAAAACAATTAGCAAATGAAATAACACTTCAAACAAATAAAATAATTTCCTTGTTAACATCTTCATTAAATATTCATTTAAATATTGGTCAAAATTCAATAATGAATAGATCTGAAGCATTTATGTCATTAGAAACAATATCAATTAATTCTCTTTCAAATAAACAAATTCAACAAATTGGAAATGCTCAGTTTAATATTCCATCAAATTTTAATTTAAATACAAATAATAATTCAACAATTTCAATTCGAGTGAGTTTTCCTTTTGCTTTTCTTTTTTTTTGTTTTTTGATTATTTATTTTTAGTCAATGATGACACCACTGGCTCCATTTGGTAATTCTAAATTTCAATCAAATACAAATCTTTCAACATCAATTTCACTTTCAATTCTTGATAAATATGGAAATGAAATTTCTATTGAAACAAATATTAATCAACCAATTCAATTAATTATTCCTCGTGATCCGAATGTTATAATTCCATCAATGATTGTACAAAATGTGACTTCAATTAATTCAACTCTTCATAATCAATTATTTTATTTAAATTATATTAATATCACAAATGATCTTACTATTGCAGTTCATTTTGAAATACATCCTTTGAATATAAGTCTTGCTTATTTATTTATTTATAAATTTGATCAAACACCTTTGTTAAATAGTTCGACTAATTTCATTGATGGATGGATACTCTTTTGTCCTTCAAGTAAGATTTTATTTTACTTTAAATAATTTAATTTTATAATTATAGATTTAACTAATGAAAGCATTTATACATACCTTATTAATAATCAACAAACATTTGGACATCAATCATTGATATTTGGTTTAAGAGAATTAAATTCAACAGAAATTATTGATTTTTGTTCGAATTCTTCATATACTAATCTACCTATTACCGATGAAGGATTTAATTTTACATCAAATTATGAACTTCGTATTTATACATCAGGTTGTTATTATCTTGATTCTAATAATAATTGGAAATCAGATGGATTAATAGTAAGTATATTTTCATTTGTGAAAGAAAATAATTAACATTTAATTAAAAATAAAGGTTGGATCATTAACAAATCATTATGAAACGGAATGTTTAGCAACTCATTTAACAACATTTGCTGGTGGTTTTATTGTTTTACCTTCACCAATCAATTGGAGTTATGTTTTTGCTAATGCTGATTTTATGCGAAATAAAACAATTTATTTAACAGTTATATCTTTTTCGATAATCTATATCATTTTAATGATTTATGCTCGTTTTAAAGACAAAAAAGATATTGAAAAAGTAAATTAAGATTATTAATATGTTTATTATTCTAATGAAGATTGTTTTGTTTCAGTTGGGAGTCACACCATTATCTGATAATATAAAATCTGATCAATATTTTTATGAAATTCTCGTTTTTACTGGTCGACGAGTCAATGCTGGAACAAAATCAAAAGTAAAATTTTAATAAAGAAAAAGAAATAGGCGAATAAATTAAAATTTTCGTTTTTTTTTACTAGGTTCGATTTATTTTANACAGAGAATCCAAGTACCCATCACAGACCGTGACAGAGAACCCCGGTACCCATCGCAGACCCTGACAGATAATTCAGGTACCCATCCCAGACCGTGACAGAGAAACTGTAGTTGTAAAGCATCAGATTAACGGTTAGCTACAAATGTATCGCAACGTAATGGAAGAAAAGGATTTCCATTTAATTAGTAATAATAGAGCCATCGTGTTTCACATTTTTAATTCCGCAAGGGATTGCGCTAACAGCTTTTTAGCAGTTTTAGAAAAACCGAATTAATTTGGCTACTAATGTATGAATAGAAGTTTTCGAAACATGACCGATCATATTAGTAACTACGCTCTACCTAACAATAAAAGAATTAGCTTCCTTTCACTTTCTGTTCAAATACAACAGAGTCTGACATTTTCTAGGAACTTTTGCAACATCCGTTATGTTACGCTATATTGTAATTGAAGTAGGGATGCGAAACAATCTATCGAAGTTTTTTTAATCTTTACTACCCGCATTGGATGTTGTAAAAGTCGATTAAAGTTTAATCAATTACTTTTCATCATCTTTCACTGCGTTTGCCTATTTTGTTGCAACTTAGTCTTGTTTCTGTTCTTTTTCTATCTAAGATAGTTGCATATAGTATTTTCATAGGTCTAGCGTTTTCTCGATGTGAAAAAGAAAAGCAAGAAAAAAAAATCAGTTATTCACTATCATACATGAACCTACTATTGCTGAATAAATTTATTCATGGTAAGTTTTTCTCTCTACACTTTACTTTTTGATCAAAAAGAGGGTAAACAGAGAAGTTTAAAAAAATGGAGGAAGCAGAGGGGGAGTGGGTGGCCAGATTTGAAGCGATCGATCATTATCTTTAATCTAAGTCTTGTGTCTTTCTTTTCACTATAGAGAGACATATAGAACTGTCCTTTTTTTAGTTTTTCTGTTTACGTCAGCAGAGATAAGGAAGAAGCAAACAGCATTAGTTAGATATTATTAATAAGTTTTTATTATATACCGTATATGGTGTCTTATAAATTTCTAGTTCATTTCAATACTTTATATTTTTTCAGTATCTAAAGTTGGGCAGAGATCGAGAATATATATGTATATTAAAAGAGTAATATCAATAGTATTTCTAAAATTTATTGAACTCAATTGTCATATATTAATAAGAACATTCTTTACTGCAAATCCCTTTTGTTAGTATAATTTTATTAAGTCGACTTTTTTCTATTCTTTCTTTTATGTAAGTACTTGCATCAAATTCTCTCTGATCCAACACAAATCGTTCCTGAAACTTACTCCGATATACTTTTGCTTGATCAAGAAAAGGGCTATGATGGAGAAGCTAACAAATCTACAGCAAGCATTGTAGTCGCCGCGAGTTCTTGTTATTCTTTCTCTCTTGCCACATTTTTTCTCTCATTTTGGTATTTATCTCTGTTAGTTGCTTTTTACTCTCGCCGACGACTGATGGATTTCTTTCTAGAAGGACAAGAAAAATTGTGGAAGGAAAGAAGAACAGCACAAAAATACTTTGTCTCTCACCTCTCTTTCGCTTTTTCTTCGCTCTTTTTTAAACACAGTCTACATAGCCCGATGAAGAAATGTCATACATGATTCATTTTTTTCGTTTGTTTTCTCTCCCGTTGCTTTTTCCCAGTAATTATTCACTCTTTTATTCAATGTCACCAATTTTGTGTAGATGACTCATAGCAACTAGTTAAAATAGAAGATTTGAAAACGACAGCCTACTGAAATAAGACACGCTTTGAAAGATTATAGAAAAGAATCTTGGTTCTATCAATGCATCCATAAAGCTGTCCGTCTTCAAGATACCTCAGGTATCTTTGATTTATATATGAACGTGATTCATATATCCAAGAAACCTAGTTACAGACAATACGAGTGATAAGGTATCCACGTTTTATCGTAGTTACAAAGAGTGTAATCAATGAAATAAAGAAATTAGCTTACAATATAACTGCTCTTATGTTACTTAATTCTTTTTAGACAATATCAAGGACTAAAGAAATAGCACTGGTTATAGCCGTTCCATACGTAGTCCAAACAGATTCAGATGGTCAAACGTTGATAATTTTTTAACTGAAAACTGTCTATAATTCATTCAGTAATATGGAATATTCGAGTCAATATTCTAATGAACAAAAATTCTTGCTTATAATCAGACCTATCTTCAAAGTTGCCTCAATTGAAACTGACAATGACTGATATATACTATTGGTTCAAATCACTAATGAAGAGCTCAGTGAACTTAAAGGAATCAAAATTTAAAAAAACTTATTAGCGTAGCCTCTTTGAGGCTGAAATGTGGAACTCACATATGCTCTCTAGCTTCATTAAACTAATACAACATGTGTAAAGTGAAAAATCTGGGTGTTCACAGTAATCATCTCTCTAATTTCTACATGTCGAACAGATGTTTTAAATTTTTTCTACAGGCGCCCTATTTTTTGTTTGCATTAATAAGCGAAAACTTTATTTTTTGTTTCTCAGTAAATGAAATAAAATGAAAGCAGACAAGATGAAATACTAGAGTCAAAATGTGAGAACTGTGACACTTGATAAAAATGCACTATAGCTGCAAAAGAAATCAATAACACATGATAGATATACATAAGAAATTACGATGTGCAAGGAGAATAATGCATGTGATCTTTCATTTTTGAACTTCTTTATTAGGCATCACAATAAAAAATTAGGTGTAAGAGATCGTGTCTATAAAAGATAAGGCAAACAGATAATTTTCCAGTACAAACTTACATTCATTAATCTTTACAGTGAATACCAAAAGATCATGGTCTATCACGAATTCCAAATTGAGAGCTCACATGAGTTTCTAATCACTCAGTTATCAATGTCTGCAGTCAGTTGAAGTGAAAAATAAAATTTCGTCAATTTTATCTTGTAAAATCAAGAAACCGACGAAATCTTGTTTGTTATGAAAACTTCTTATGGTTCAGACTATGCATATCGTATACCGATATGCTAAACATTTTTTTAGATAACATTTATACTTCAAATGATGAGTTCTATTAGCTTTGTGCTTCATATGCGATTGTTCTGAAGTCGATGCAATCGTGGTACATATCCAGAAGAATCGTCACACTCTATTCAGACATTAGAATCTGTTGCATCATGCAAACAGAGCAAATAAGAAATTTTAAAAAAACCTGCTCTCGAAGCACCTTGTCAAGGCGTAGCTTTGCTTTTGGCGAGAGATTTTGCCTACATGTAGGTTTCATTGAGACCAATAAAGTTACAAAAGAATTGAAATTTTGGTCATCTCTGTTCAAGTTAGGAATGCTTTGTTGCCTATTTTAATTTGCACCTAGTCAGTTCGCGTAAAACAAAATGGCAACATTTCCAACTACGATTTCTCTTTCAGATAGATCAACGTGTCTTTAATTCATCCTAAAATTTTTGATACAAACAAATGTGTTCTTATCGAAATATTGAACTTTAAAAGTGTCGCTTATATTTTAGCAAATGACTGAAAAGTAGAGATTATTTAGGATCTTAATATCTTGACCAGAAAGCATTCTTTTATACAAAAAACATTAGGATGATTCAGTGACAAGTTGGTCTATCAGCAAGCTAGATTTCAGTTCGAGATTTTTTTATTTGATTTTATGTGAGCTGACTATGCAAATGCGAAACAACAAACAAAACAATCATAACGTGAGAAGAGAAGATCAGAAAGTCGAATTCGTTTGCAGTTATATTGGTCTCGCTAAGGCGAGCATCATGAGCAAAATATCTCGTCAAAAGTTTAGCTAACTTTTGCAACATACTTTCGTGAGTGCGCAGGAAAAGTAATAATGAAAGTAAAAGTTGAATTTAAGAGACATAACACTAACGGATTTTCAAAGAAACATCAATAGTACTACCATAATAAAGCGTGAAAGCGATGTCCGGTTTACCGTCTTAATTGAAATCATCAGCAGGAATTGCAAGGAGGAAAAAGCGAGACTCCATAAGTTGGAGTCTAGCTGAAGTACATATGAAGCACAGTGAAGTCTAGATCAAGTACGAGGAGTATATACTCACTGGAATTCGCTATACTTCAGCTGTATTTCAGCTAGACTCCAGCTGTACTTCATTGTACTTCACCTGTACTCCAACTTATGGAGTTTCGCTTTTTCCTCCTTGAGCAATTGTTATTGGAGAAGCGCCTGTTGAAACCACTGTTAGTATTCCAAAACCTTCGTTGCGAGTGTCAAGAACTATATCCGCTGTGTTGCTACCACCATTAGAGAGAGGATGGATGTGAGCTAGTTGCATACGAAATCATTGTTGCAAACGTAGAATTACATACTATGGTTAGAAACGAGAAAGCAAAAAGCTGAAGAGTATCCAAACAATTTATAAACACATTTGTTTTTTCTTATCGTTCAGGAAGAAGGACTTGAAGTGATTATGAATTGGAGAGAAAATTACTTAAACCAGTCGTATTCCACAGAGAAAAAGTTTTTTGTTTTTCAAAACTTGTTTTATTCTGCATTATTTGATAGGAAGAGTTGAGCTTTATTATTTTTTTTCATGTCCTAAGTCATTCATATGGAAATATCGAACTACATATTTGAAAGGTATTCATTGACAAAAACAAATGAAACATACATTAGCGGAGTGTTCTACAAATTATTATTTATAGTGATCCAAATTAACTTGGCATTTCTTCATGCAGTCATTCATAGTACACGAAACCCGATAGTATCTTATTGATATGTCTTCTAGCCTGTTGAAATCGAAATACACTTTATTTCGTATGATGAAACATTTGGGCTATGTTTTACTGCGATTAGATGATGTTTGGGAACTCGGCGTAGGAGTGTGGAGGATGGTGAGGTTATGAGAGCGAGAATGTGATTTTGTAGTGATATCAATGCGTCCACTCACATCATACAGTCACGCCTGCATC